TGAGTGTGTGTTGCTTGTTTGACATGTTGCGTTAAACCAAAACTCTCTAATATATTAAAGAGCTTTGTTGCCCGTCTGTCTTGGGGGTTGTCAATTTGAATGTTGAAATCACCGACAATTATCAATCATAATCAATGCATATGAGAGATAGAAGCTCATTCAAATCTGTAAAGAAATTTTCCACCTATGTTGCAGTTTTGTATAAAGTTGCTGTCAAAGTTCGTTTGTGGCCTTTTATCTCAATTCCAAGATACTCAAAAGAGGTGAAATGACTCAAAGAGATTTTACTACAGTTTATGATATTCTTAAATATTGAAGCCACGCCTCCTCCTTTTTTATGTTTTCTATTCTCACTTAAAAAAATTGTAGTTGGGAGGCGCTGATTCAATTAGTATGATTGGTTCATTATTGACATTCAACCATGTTTCTGTCAGGTTTGCAGGTTTGGAGTTAAGGGTCGTTTGTCCTGCCCAAACAAGTTAAAACAACTATGCAAACACAATCACCTTTGGGAAATTTAGAGAGAACAATTAAGCTAACAGTCATGTTTTTTGACAGTGGGAGGAACTGTTCTGGGATTAATTTAATTTAATTTAATTTAATTTAATTTAATTTAATTTAATTTAACCCTCCTGTTACTTTGCGGGACAAATTGACTGACTGAAGTTACTTTTTTTTTTTTTTTAAATAGTTGGAAGTATTTTTTCTGGATGAAACTTTTTCTATTCGTCTTAATAGGCACACTCTACATATAAATTGAAAATGGTTCATTTTACACATTCGTGCAATCCCTTGCATCTACATATTACATAGATACTGTTTGGGTCAATTTGACCTGGCAGTCAAGTTGAAGGTTAAAAAGGTAAAAAAAAAAAGTCCAAATCTATATGTTTCCTTGCAGCTATGAACCATATTTCACCACATACACACACACACACACACACACACACACCACACCATACACATACATGCACACGTACACACACACAAGCTCACTTTCTCACTATTCTCTTTATTTCACAAGGGAACTGTGAGAAAGCAGGTGTTCAAACAACTTTTGACGGGAACCTTTTCTGTTCCTGTGGGCAAACTCCACCCACACTGAGTGGACACTCAGCAGAAGTGGGGTGGGGGACATAAATACTCTCTGCAAGGGATTCCTAAACGCATTACACACTGAAGGTACAT